TCTCTCTCTGGTCTCATCTCTGGTCTCTCTCTGGTCTCGTCTATGGTCTCTCTCCCTGGTCTCTCTCTCTGCGTTCTCTCTCTCTGGTGTCTCTCTGGTGGTCTCTCTGGTCTCTTCCTCTGGTCTTCTGGCTCTCTCTGGTCTCTTCCCCACACCCTGGTCTCTCTGGGCTCTCTCTCTGATTGTCTCTCTGGTTGTCTCTCTGGCTCTCTCTCTGGCCTCTCTCTGGTCTCTCTCTGGTCTCTCTGGCCTCTCTCTCTGGTCTCTCTCTGGGTCTCTCTTCTGGTCTCTCTCTGGTCTCTCTCTGGCCTCTATTCTCTGGCCATCTCTCTGGAGTCTCTCTCTGGTATCTCTTGGTCTCTCTCTTGGTCTCACTCTCTGGTCTCTCTCTGGTCTCTCTCTGGTCTCTCTCTGGCCTCTCTCACTGGCCTCCCTATGCCTTCTTGGCCTCTCTTAGGTCTCTCTCTGGTCTCTTCTGGTCTCTCTATGGTCTCTCTCTCTGGTTTCTCTCTGGTCTCTCTGGTCTCTCTTGGTCTAACAGTGAAAAATAGTAATTCTCACTAAACCAAACATCTTAACATAAAAAACATCCTATATCAGATATAGTTTCAAATGAGTTCAGTTCGAATCTCATTACATTTCAGTTATTTATTTTGTATAAATTGTATGAAATAAACTTTTAGCACAGGTACAAAGCACTGAGCCGTGTTAAACTTTTACTTTCACTTTCAAAGGCTCATAATCTCCTTTGCCCGCGTGGCCCGGTCAAACCTTGGCAATTGCTGTATATTTTTATATTTAAAAAATTTTGCTGTTTTTTGCCGACTGAATGAAGGATCTCACCGTTTCCATGATTACCACTTTGAATATACGTTCATTTTAAACCAGTCTCCTCCTCCCCTCCTTACGATGCAGATTAAAGGGAAATGTCTGGGAGTTTTTGATATATATTTTTCTCCCATTTTCTGGATGAAAACCAGGAAAGCCTTGTGTCTCATGTTGGGGTTTGTGTGCCAGGATCCTGGTTGCTGTTTCTTCTTCTTGGATTGATGTTTTCTTTCTAACGATTCATTATTGGTCGGTTCTTGTACGGCTGCGCTGTACGAATGTGTCCACAAAGTCCGTTTCTCACTTGGCATAAAGTCATTTTTTAAATTAATATTGGGTTGTTTTTGTGGTTTGTGCTGATTGACAAGGGGGCGGGGGTCTAGCTATGATGCCACAGATCGGAGAGATTGACCCGGAGCGTTCTGTGAGGGTCCTGAGCAGAAAATTAGAGTGAAAAGTGATGAGAAAAATAGTCTAAAAAATGCTGAAATTAGGCAAAACATGTGTCTTAATTTGGGATTAGATCGATTTAAGAGTTTTTTAAAGACTTTTTCAAGTGTATCTGTCTGCGGCTGCAGTGACGGAGGCGTGTCGAGTAGTGGGCGTGTCGGTAGATGACGTCACTACTCGACACGCCCAACTCCGCGTGTATGAGCATGGATCGATTATATTACGGGTATGAGTGAGTAGTGAGTACTATCTATGCCCAATGAATTTATGCGCAATAATGAATTTTATGGCGCCCTGTCATTGTCAATATTATTTATTTGGGGGAAATGGACGAATTTTGTAAAGATCAAAGTCGTTAATGTGCCTACAAAAGCTTGCATTACTTCAGACTATCAATCAATAGGGATTTGAAGCAGCTCAGGACAAACGTTATGAGTCAAATATTCAAGTGCTTATTTCTTATATGTGTACAGTCATTTATAACAGGGGCCTATGGTTGGTGGCTCAAATCCTGGCTGCCCCCAAGTGCAGTCTGGTATGTTCTTGAGCAATGCACTTCTCCACATGTGGTGGACATAGTGAGAGACTGCTTGGTGTGTGGGCCAATCAGCACAGATAGTAGCCTGGCATCTCCAACCCAGCTGTGACACACTGTGTGGAATAAATGAATAAAGTAGTGTGGGTTTTGAGAAATCTTGTCAACACAGGATTGAAAAGTACATTACAAGTTTAAGATTTTATTATCCACCACCACACCACCACACACTCCTACACCATGGTCTCCACATTACTGATCATAAAGAGAACATGCCATAACATTTTTGTGCCCAACCTTTGGCTTTTGGGACAAGCAGCATTCCATTACTATTGGGTTTTGTAAATTTGTATGTAGAAGAGGGACGATTAAACAAAAAGAACAAATTGTTTTTGTGAATTTTATGTACATGCTTTTTTATGAATTTGTGTTCTCTGAATGGGCTCTGAAAGGTAGACACTGTATAAAGTTCACACAAACCAAATTCTCTTTTATTATATTCAGAGAGAAGGCATCAGTGGAGAGCGCCAAATACTCATCTCTCTTGGGAAGCTTTCAGCCTCCCTGCTGGGCATCCTCTGAAATGCCTCACCAGATCATTTGCCATTCATTTTAATACTCACTGTCCATAATAGAACATCTCAAGATTAGATTGTGCAGTGCACAGTGAAATTGTCCATCAATATTTAATTTAATCTGTACCCATGGTTCATATTTGGGCCCTTTATGAATTTTTCAATTGCCTCTTGCGGAGGCAGTGAAAATGCCTCGGCAGAGAAATATGTGAACTGTACCTAGATAAGAGTAACACATGGTGTTACAGTCAACACCAACAGTTACCAAAACAAATGCAGCCCTAAACGGTGTTGTGTCCGGTTTAATATATTGTCAGTTGACTTGCACTTATGACTTTATGGTGCTGTACATCAACAATGTTGCACTGCGAGTTTTTAGTTACAGTGTACCGCAAGGGGGGGGGGAAAAACAGTTCCATGACAATGTTTATGTTTGAGGGGGTTCAGTGTTTTATGCACTACTTTCATTACATAGTCCTGTGCCAGCCTGGAGGCGCTGGCTACTATGTAAAACAAACATTATTTAAATCAGGCTATACTTCGGTAAGAGCGTTGTAGACCAATCAGAAAGGAAGGGGAGGGGAGACTTGGGATGTATTTTTTTCAAATCCAAGTACCTCTCTGTCTACTCTTTCTGACAAACCTCTAGACCCCCCCCCCATCACTTAAAGAACAAATGACAATATTGCACAACACTTGGATTCGAAGTTAAAAACATTAGCTCCATGACAAAAAACAGATGCCCTTTCATGGGTTTGCACGTGTTGTGAGCATTTGTGCATCTCGCCATGTTTAAAACAGGTTAACAGTGAGGCGTTTTCCCCCTGCTTAGCTACTGGAGCATGATTCCCTTCACTGTCATTGTCGGATGCAAACTGAAAGCAGACTTATAACGCATCCATTTGTGACACTCTAGAATAACACAAATATCTTTGATCTTCATCCAATAACTATGGTCAGTGACTTCTGTAACTCGTGATAGGAAAACATCGTGAGCTACATCACATAATCAGCCTAAACAAATTATTCTCCACTGTTCTTGGAAAACATGTAAAGAGTGTATGTTTTTCTCCTATTACATTTTAACGATGCAAAATGACATTGGGGCATATTATATTGTATATATTATACTATGTACCTATTATACTATGTACCGGACAGTCGTGCGGCACATGGACTCTTAGAAGAAACCCATACAAATTGCTTTCTCTTGCAATGTATTTGTTCACATCTAAAAAAACATTTCTAGTCAGGGTGATGTGCATTTATTCATTAATACACTGTAATGGTGGGACGGCCTAAAATAAATAAATAACACGTTGTTGGTTGACACTTACTGTTTGCGTACGGTCTGCCTTGTCTTCTCGTTCAAACGGATATACTTGCAGAAGTTCAAGTGGATTCAAAATTCATGTAGTAGGCGTGTCGGCGTAGTGACGTCACTACCCGACACGCCTACTACTCGACACGCTCCGTACTGAAAGCCGCAGACAGACCCTTCTCGTTTCCTTCGCTGCGGCACCAGAGCCTTCCTCAGTAGTGGAAGCCTGGAGGTATTTTGGGCAGGCCGTCCAGACAGGGGGGTGCGAGGCCCTGTGCGAACTCGAAACGCGAGGCCCTGCCCTGACACTTTTTTCCCAGATCTGAGGAAATGTTTTTTCTGTTTTAACTCTGTGACATGAAGTTCAGCACCACCTCGCGCCGTGCTTGACGCGATCAGCACGCGCGTAAACGAGTGTCTTCGCTTCCTATGCGCGTTTGGCGCGCGCAGTACACCGCACACACACTCTACGTGCAATATTGGTCGCGGTCTTTTTAGCTGACATGTCTCTTTCGTCCTGTGGCAAAATGGTTAGAGAACTCAAAAGATTGAACCAAAGGAGTCTTTTTCTTCTATAGTTAGATTGGGCAAAATGCGCCAAAATGGCTATGAGGCGGAGTCAATATTATTATTTTTCATCAAATACACTTTTTGCCCATGCCTCCACACACTCTGACAAACTCACCACATCCTCCTCCTCCAACCTTGAACAACAACAAAATACTCTTCACCTCCTCCTCCACACACTCTGTCCACGTTAGTCACTGTGTTTGCCTTTTAAACAATATGTTTTTGATGTGGATTTCGGACTAAACCTTGGCAATAGTCACACACCTGTCCCACACGCTGATCCTCCTCCTCCTCCTCTGCTACACATAAAGGGTCTGACTCTCTGCTCACACCTGTATCATGCTCCTCTCACTCCTTTCCTACTCCTCTCTGCTCACTCTAAGGGGTCTGCCACGTTTACTCCACAACGAACATGGATAAATAACGTCAAAACACAGTCGGTCAGTAACATCCACGCACTTGGAGGATGTTATACAGTCCCACAATCAAACTGAATGAGTTTAGACATACTCAAAATGATCGAATAAACCTCTATTTTCTGATCATGAGCAGCACGTTGTGGCTCAGGAGAAGCCATGTTGTCAACCCGGTTAGCTTTAGCTCAGCAGCTAACATTTTCATGATCTCCTAATATTCTATCTCCATCTGTACAAACGCTGTCAATGACCCTGACACAATGGTGTGAAAGGGTACAGGGGTTGACTTGTGTCCGTGTTGCAGCATGCTCAGGCTCCAGAAGAGGCTGGCCTCCAGCGTTCTGCGCTGCGGCAAGAAGAAGGTCTGGTTGGACCCCAACGAGACCAATGAGATCGCCAACGCCAACTCTCGTGAGTGAAACCCTGAGCAGCCTGTTGAAATTGTCCATGGAAAATCTAAAGAATAAGGGGACAGTCACACCTGCTTTGGTCTGGACTCATCTGTCACTTGGGTGATACTGACTGGTTCATCCATCTCATTACATGTCAATAGTCCAAACATAGACTCATGCGTCCCAGTCTCTCAATTATTGTAAGTAACCAGTAACAAATATATTGTAAGTAACCAGTATTTTTAAAGGTTCAGTTTAGTAACCAATAAATGAATCAGTCCATCCATTTTCTACCCTTTAATCCATTTCTGGGTCAGGGGGGTGGCAGTCAGAGATGCCACCCAAGTCTCATAGCACCAGCCCCTCACTGACCCTCTGCAGGTGGTGAGTCCACAGGAGCATCAGTGACGCATCAGTGACGAGGCTCATCAAATGCATCAGTGACGAGGCTAAATTATCTTTCACCATATTAGACTACATTTCTTCATATATTCTATTTTTTTCAGTGTACAAGGACAAAGGGTATTGCATTACATTTTGGGAAATGCAAATCCTAAACATGATCTAGCCAATTTTGGGATAAAATTGCGCGGTTATCTGAATTTTTATATTTAGTCGTTTAACCTGGCTGGTTTATGCCCTAATGTCTCCCACAATCCTTAGAGACCCATAATCAGTGGCTTTTAGCTCAATGGTCGGGGGTGATAAATTAACTGATACAACCCGATGCATTCAATAAGCTGTCTGTAGCTGAAGTTGTTTTAAAGTGGAGACTGCGACACTGGTTTGCTCCTAGTCAGGGTCACAGCACGTTATATCTGAGTTATGCCACAATGCTTTCTCAGGCCAAAGCGCAACCCCAATTAAATTCATGTATGTCAATGTTTGTATTTTTTTAAAGTTCCCATCTTACCTTGAAAGTGCTCAACATTTATCAATTTTACACTTTAAAAGCTCTTCGAACCCTGTGTCTGCCCCCCTAGGCCAGCAGATTCGTAAACTGGTGAAGGATGGTCTCATCATCCGTAAGCCTGTCACGGTCCACTCCAGGGCGCGCTGTCGCAAGAACACCCTGGCTCGCCGCAAGGGCAGACACACTGGATACGGTATAGCAGACTTTTGTGATTATTATCTTTCAATAAACAAACTAAGAAGTAATGGGTGCAATATTTCTGACCAGGTAAGAGGAAAGGTACAGCGAATGCTCGTATGCCAGAGAAGCTGTCCTGGATGCGCCGCATGAGAATCCTGCGCCGTCTGCTGCGTCGTTACAGGGAGTCCAAGAAGATCGACAGGCACATGTGAGTCTACTGTGAACAATAAAACATTCAGAATAATCATCCCTTTATTTAAATGAATAGGAAGAAATAGCTTTCTAAACTACCTTCCCGTTTCTGTAGTGATTTAAATCTGAGTTGTCACTAATGATACGTGTTTAAAATGTGTGAACAAAGATTAAGATGTACATAAGATGTTTGTTTCAGGGTCTGTATGATTGTGATTTGTCTACCAAATTAATATAAACCAATCTGTCAGCTCTTCATTGCTGCTCAAATGTGGTATCCTCACCAGCAAAGTGCCTTCCCAGTGGGGAGTGCACTCACAACATTCTCCCTAAGAATTGAGACACCCCTGGATCTAGGGGACAATATGCAAATGACGCAGCAGACGTGTTCCACGTCACACACATTATCAAAGTGTGTGATTTCACCACAGATGACTTTATTAAAACGCAGTATTTATTAAAATGAGACGTTTTTAATTCTATTTCATGAAGATTTGTTATAATTAGGTACAGAACTGATGAACATCACGTACTCAGAGACAGACGCGCACACACAGACACGCATATGTACACGCGCACACACACAAAGGCCGACACACGCACACAGACGGACACATGTACAAACACACAGACGGGCACACACGTACGCGCACAGATATGTACCACACAGAGACAAGACGGGTACAGCCGCCGATCACAAACTGTCAAAGCGATGCTCTGAACTACAACATGGATCTATAATAACCTGCACCATGTCTCTGAAGACTCAGTGAACGCCACTTGCTGCAGCCGCTTCGGGAGCGAACGTCACCGCACACGGCACCAACACGCGCATTAAAAACTAACTCGCACACGTTTTGGATCTAGGGGACAGTATGCAAATGACGCAGCAAACGTGTTCCACGTCTCACATTATCAATGTCTGATTTCGCCACAGATGAGACTTTATGAAACAAAGTATTTATTAAAATGAGACGTTTTTAATTCTGTTTCATATGAATATTTGCTATAATTGGGTACAGAACTGCTGCACGACACGCACTCGGACAGACACACACGCACACAAATGCAGGTACATACACGTACGCGCACAGAGATGTACCACGCAGACGAGTACAGCAGCGGATCAAGTAAACTGTAAACTACATCATGGATCTATAATAACATACACCACGTCTCCTAAGCCTCAGTGAAGCAAACGTCACCGCACACGGCACCAACACACACATTAAAAACTGAATGACTTGCATACGCTTCGGAGCTTCCTCCCTTTTGTAATGCAGGACATTTATGTAAAATATGTGAAGTGTTTGTACAATTTTGTCATATTATACTTCTCCCTTTCTTCCTCACACTTCTGGTTGATATTTTGTTACTACGTTACAGAAAGTAAACAATTTTCGCAGAATGATTGAAATGTGAAGCCTTGTGTAGAGTGTAAATCTCAAAGGGGCCAAACTTTGAGAAGCACTGATGGATACATCTAATAAAATGATATTGACACATGCCAACTGTTCTTGTGCAGGTACCACAGCCTCTACCTGAGGGCCAAGGGTAATGTGTTCAAGAACAAGCGTATCCTGATGGAGCACATCCACAAACTGAAGGCAGACAAGGCCCGCAAGAAGCTTCTGTCGTAAGTTTCATGTTATTGGTCAGCCTCATGATTAAAGTTGTAAAGGTTTTTTAATTGGCAAATGTGCCAAAGTGTAAACACTGCTCTAAAGCAAGTGTTGTCTAGCACTATATATATAAAAAGCCTAAATGGCTTCGACAAAACCTTTGTAAATCAAATGTAAACGTTTGGTGGTTAATGGTTTTTCATTTAGAAAATAATTCTTATGAAAAACTCTAACTTTGTTTTTAAAATGCTTGTTTCAGTGACCAGGCTGAAGCTCGTCGTACCAAGACGAAAGAGGCCCGTAAGCGCAGAGAAGAGCGTCTTGCAGCCAAAAAGGAGGAATTCATCAAGACCCTGTCCAAGGAGGAGGAGACAAAGAAGTAATCAGTCTCTACTCTGCCCGACTTTTCCACCTGTCAAAGTGCCCACAATAAAAGTGTACAGAAAAGACATCGATGTTTTCTTATTTTTCCATTTGATAAAACATTTCATTTCTATACTGCAACCACCTGGTGGTAGTGTCCCATTACAGTAATCTGTTCTTCCCTTCTGCACATGAGGCTTTTAGGTTCCTCCCACTGGGAGAACACTTCCTGTCCTTAACTTCTAGTTCCATAATATGTTCAACGTCCTTTTCAAAGTTGAAATTTAATCAGCTCAAAATGCTGATTTTGAGCTGATAAGGCCTATATTTTTGTTAAACAAATATACACTCACAGGTCCTGGACAAATAATCTGTAAAATATGTAATCTCACCAAATCATAACCATTTTACCAAACGGCCGGTGGACGGGAAATCTGCTTCGCCAAGGATAATGTTCCCCCTGCATTTGACCCAGCCTTTGCTTGAGCCCGGCTTTTTCACTTTTCTTGTGTCATTTGTTAGGCGTGCTTAATGCATATCAGCAAAGCCATGGCCTTTGTTTTTGTTATACTGAAGTTTTCCAAAGAGTAGATCGCAAGAGTCAAACATGAGGCTTACGAGCCAAATGCAGCTCACCAGACCAGTTTTAGTGCCCCCTGAAATGATGAAATATTACCTTCCATCAATGCTGCAAGTTAAAGATGATTTCTTGAGCTCAAGATTTATTTTATTTTTCATCTAATTGAAACTAAGACCTAATTATGAATTGTTCATTTAAAAACGTATCGTTGGCCAATCCTTTAACTTTGATTAAGTCCTAACATACAGTAACTGAACTAGTTTTGTTCAGAAAACTCTTATCTTCATGATGTAGAACACAGGTGTCAAAGTCAAGGCCCGGGGGCCAGATCCGGCCCGCGAGACCATTTCCAGTGGCCCCTGGGATGATTTTAAATTATTATATTAAATAGCAGCATTGACGGTATTAGGCGACAATGGCATGTTATCCATTACTAATTTTCTCAAGAAAACCATAACATTTAATTCCTTAAGAAATGTTAAGCCAACATGTAATTATAAGTTAGTTGTTATGCTATGTTTTTACATTTCAAGGAGGATTTTCCAATTTGTTTGTAAAAAAACACCCTCTCCACTTTTTGAACAAAACTCTCTGGTCTTATTTGACAAGCATGAATCACCAGAATGATTGACAGTTGGGAGGACCAATAGTCTGATGATCCACCCGGAAGTAGAAAATCTTCACATTAACCTTCAATATTTGGTCCACTTGTGGTCCAGTCCACAGGAACTGAACTAAATCTAATCAGAAAAGAATATCCAGTCTAACTAATGTGAAAAAGTCATTTATATAGATACCTTCATATTATAAAAAGTATAAAAAATGAAACCCACTTCTTCTTTTGGCCCCTGAACGGCCCTTTAATTTTTTTTTCGGCCCTCAACCAAAATAAGTTTGACACCCCTGATGTAGAAGATGCAAAAAAGTATCCACTGATCTTTTTAATCTGGCCCCTGACCAAAATGATTTTGACACCCCTTATGTAGATGGACTGAACACGAAAGTAGTAATGGAACACACTAGAAGTGATTTTATAAACACCTGGGGCCGTATTCCTAAAGATTCTGAGAGTCCTCTCAGAGAGCTCTTATCTTAACCTAAAAACTCCTAGCTAGGAGTCTTAGCTTAAAAGTTATTCCAGAACACTCTTAGAGAACTCTGAGCAAGGAATTGACAACAACTTTTATCTTAGTGAGGAGGCGTGGCCGACCCCGTTGCTAGGTATGAGTCATCATTTCAGACGCTGTGATTGGTTGATCCTAAAAGTTAGAACAAACATATTTTTGATGATAATAGGCAAAATAAGGGCCCTAAAATGGACAAACTCAATCATGGAATCTAATCTTAGGAACACTGTGTTATTGTAAATAATAACCAAAAGCTATAAAGTCAGATATATCAATGGTACATACATACTGTGAATAGTAAAGTTAGACTTATACACCATCATCAGAGCTTGCTCAGCACCAATTTATCACACATAATACGTATATATCATGAGCACTTATAATTTTATATATATATATATATATATATATATATATATATATATATATATATATATATATATATATATATATATATATATACATATCATTTAAATATTACTCTATATATAATATACATGATAAAGAAAATTATTATTATAAATATTATATGGATAAATTATGATAATGATAACGTTAGGATTAGTAAAGGCTGTGATATGTATAGACTTATAAGGAATTAAGGAAACAATATTAATATAAACATATTATACATACACTGTACAAATCAAGTACAAGGGAGCTTAAAAGTCTTATCCTCTCCCACTCCTTTTTGAGCTGGATTGTTGTTAATAAAACAAAACTGTATATTTGTACTTCTATTCTGTTGTTGTTTTGTTTGTTTTGTCCTTTTTTTTCTTGTTTGCCATGGCTCAAAATAAAGTATTCATTCATTCGTACTGAATGTGTGACAATTTAGGACCACTTTTTCCTCTCTTTCAACTTTTACCATTTCTACTTACTTTTGTGTAACAAAGGTAAAATGGATGAGGTGTTATTGCTGACCAGCCAATGAGAAGCTGGTCACATGATTGACTTTTAAATATACCACAAACATGATTCCTGCTTGAATCTGTAGCGTTTCACTGATTCACTGTCATCCAGTGTATAGAATATTTCTCCTGTCTCCACCGTCCACCATTTTGTGCTCTTAGGGAACTTTTAAGTCGCTAAAAGTCCTCCTCTCAACTCTTAAGGGATCTCCCCTTAAGAGCACTCTTAAGAGCTAGGATTTTTTAGGAATAGCTTTTATCTTAACTAGGAGCTACTCCTCACTTTTAGGGGAAATTCTAAGAGTTGGTCAAGATTCTAAGAAAATTCTTAGAATTTGGCCTCTAGGAGCAACTTTTAGCAGTAAGAATCTTTAGGAATACGGCCCCTGGATGTTACTCCACTCAGTTTAATGTACTGAGATGACTGAGTGTCTGTTATGATGTTGACATGTGGTTCTTATGACCGCTGTAACGCTTCTGACACTGCTGCTCTTATTAACCTCTGACCATCTAAATATTTAAGTTTCGTTACAGCTAATAAAGCCTACTTCCTTTTAAAATATGTTTATGTAAGACTTCAGGAAGTCAAAGATCCAGACATGGAGAATCACAGTTCGATAGCAACAAAATACAGGCTGGGTCTCGTCTGGGAGAGTCTTGTGCATAATAAATCAAATGTAGGAAGCATAAATTATACTTTTATCCCTCTTACAAACTGAGCAAAAGGTTTATATACTATCTCAGTAGTATTTACCTTACGTACATTTCCTAAAAAATCCATCACAGCCCTAAACTTTTATTATGGCTGTGAAATCTGGGTAAAAAACAAACATGTCATTGATCAACCTCCATTGTTGATTTGAGGTTTTTCCACTAATTGAAATTCAATATTTACTTGCGCACAGGCAGAGGAAACACTAAATGAAGAAGGATCAGAGGACAGAGGCTCTGGGACATTTATACATTTAACCAACGAATGTAACTGATGCGGCACAGATCTAGAAAATGTTACACACACCACTTCCCACATCAAGTTTGCGGTCTACAAAAAGAATTGTGCAATTTGGTCCATAAACACATAATGATGCCCATTGTAGCTTTCAGTTTTGAGACAGAAAGTGATTCATGGTCTGAAAAAAAGAGAATTGAGAAATTTGTACTAAAAGTATTAATAATCAAACCCCAGATTCGTGAGGGTGACACCATGGCAACGAGCAAAAACAAAACCCAATCATCAACATATTGACATAAATTATTCAAAAATTACTTACTGGTTTCAGATATTTCACTTTCATCAGAAATGTTAGAATAGTTACAAGAAACGTTTGCTTTAATTAATACACTAATTGCCAATGAGATTATCCTCTTTTTCTCCACCATTATAGCAACAATTTTAATACATTAAAGAATCAACACCCATCACATACATTAATACTCACTAAACTAGACCAAACACATTAAATCAATAGAAAATTGTAGATCTTTGCCGCTCCAAACATACATCTTATACATGTCTACATCTATTATTGTAAAACTACCAAATTCTAAAACATAAACATAGCTGCGTGATATAGGACCCAATTTTAAAGATGAACTGATACTGTATTAGTGGTGTCAGTGTTGTCAGTCATGCAGTAGCTGTATTAGGAAGTCTGTCCACAGCCTGGTTTGGGGCACAAGTTCAAATGACACATCATGACATAATTTGAATGGTTTGGTATTTAATGTGTCAAATCCGGCTCCGTGTGGAAGAAGCCCCAGGCCTGAGGCTAAGCTCCAGAGGAATGCAGAGATCAGCTGTTCTCCAACACATGATCTGGGCCTCCTCCTCGCGAAAAAGGTGAGCGTGTCATAACAGCAGAGGAACACATTGTTGGATCAGAGCGACGTCTGCGTTCTAAACATTGTGATTTATATGATCTGATTGGTGCGCTAGTCTCTTATGTTTCTATTTAGATTTAGAGTATGAACTTCTCAATGCTTGCAGTGCCTGACTCAACTGAAACAAAACGTCATGTCGAAATCCATGTCCCTATATACCTCGCTCTCAGACTGTTTGTATCTTTGGCATCGGTCATAAATTTAGATTTTTCAAAGCCAGCCCTCCCTTAGTCTAAGTCTGGAGAAGTCCTGGTCTGTACCTTGGTGGATAGTAGTGCTGTTAGTCTATAATTTCACATAAATATAGCAGATGTTTTGTAAAGTAAATTGTAACTGGATTAGATGCAGTGTTTGTTATCTTTATTTGAAAAGTGGTGATGCAGAATTCAATTTTCCGGCCCAGACGACACGGCCAGCCAGAAGATTAAGCCATTGGCAAAATCAGGAGAAGTTTGAACAGCCCTGGTTTACTGTTTCAATGAATAATATAGAATAGATTGATATTGTGATAGATAGATAGA